GCGATTCTCCTGCCTCAGCTTCCCGAATAGCTAGGACTACAGGCACGTACTACAATACCCAGTTAATTTTTGTATTTTTTGTAGCTTCTTCCCTGGCCAAGCAGCTTTTTTTTTTTTTTGAGACCGAGTCTTGCTCTGTCGCCCAGGCTGGAGTGCAGTGGCGCAATCTCGGTTCACTGCAACCTCTGCCTCCCGGGTTCATGCCATTCTCCTGTCTCAGCCTCCCAAGTAGCTGGGACTACAGGCACCTACCACCACGCCCGGCTAATTTTTTCTATTTTTAGTAGAGATGGGGTTTCACCGTGTTAGCCAGAATGGTCTCGATCTCCTGACCTCGTGATCTGCCTGCCTCGGCTTCACAAACTGCTGGGATTACAGTTGTGAGCCACTGCGCCCGGCCGCCAAGAAGCTTTTATAGAGAGCAGAGGCCTCAAAAACATTGTATACACATATAGCCTAAATATCAGCTTCTAATTAAGTCAACTTTCAACTCTAAAGCTGTTTAAAAGCATTCCTGTGTCAGATTTTAGCTGGGCAAATAGTCAATATTCTTGTTTCTTGGTTTTTCCTTCCTGAAATTGACATCAAGAAGGAGGTCTGAAGCTGGCCACGGTGGCTCATGCCTGTAATCCTACTGTGGGAGGCTGAGGTTAGAGAATCACTTGAACCCAGGATTTGAGACCAGCCTGTGCAACATAGTGAGACTCCATCTTTATAAAAAGTAAAAAGTTAGCCAGGAGTGGCAGCACACATACGTACGTGCCTATGGTCCCAGCTGCTCGGGGCTGAGGTGGGAGGATCCTTGAGCCTGGGAAGTCAAGGCTGCAGTGAGCTGTCATGGTGCCCCCACACGCCAGCCTGGATGACAAACGTGAGACCCTGTCTCAAAAATAATAAAGCCTTGCTGTGGTGGCTCATGCCTATAATCCCAGACCTTTGGGAGGCTGAGGTGGGTGGATTGCTTGAGCTTACAAGTTCAAGGGCAGCCTGGACAACATGGTAAAACCTCATCTCTACGAAAAAATACAAAAATTAGCCAGGTGTGGTGGCACACACATGTAGTCCTAGCTACTTGGGAGGCTGTGGTGGGAGCATGCCTTGAGCCTGGGAGGCGGAGGCTGCAGTGAGCCTGTTGCCGGTGGCAGGTATCTGAGTTGCTGGTGGCAAATCCATACGTGTCTGCAGCAGCCTCAATTATTGCCTCCTCAGACGAAAGAATCTGACCAAAGGCCATAAGGCGGAAGAAGAGACTGAGGCAAGTTTTAGAACAGGAGTGAAAGTATTAAAAAGCTCGGCCAGGCGCGGTGGCTCACGCCTGTAATCCCAGCACTTTGGGAGGCCGAGACAGGTGGATCACGAGGTCAGGAGATCGAGACCATCCTAACACGGTGAAACCCCGTCTCTACTAAAAAATACAAAAAACTAGCCGGGCGAGGTGGCGGGTGCCTGTAGTCCCAGCTACTCGGGAGGCTGAGGCAGGAGAATGGCGTGAACCCGGGAGGCGGAGCTTGTAGTGAGCTGAGATCTGGCCACTGCACTCCAGCCTGAGAGACAGAGCGAGACTCCGTCTCAAAAAAAACCAAAAAACCAAAAAAACAAACAAAAAAAACAAAACCCACAAAGCTCTAGAGCAGAAACAAAAGGAAGGAAAGTGTACTTGGAAGAGGCCAAGTGGGCAATTTGAGAGACAAGTGCCCCGTCTGGCCTCTGACGTAGGGTTCTAGATGTTGGCATACTTGAGGGTCTTGTGTCCCTTCTCCTGATTCCTCCCTTGGGGTGGGCTGCCAGCACACACAGTGGTCTGCTAGCCCTTGGGAGAGAGCATGCGCAGTGTTTACTGGAGCGTATGCGTGCTCACCTGAGGCGATCTTCCCTTACCGGTGGAATGCACCTGGAAGGTCACACACCAGTTAAACTCCACCATTTTGTGCCTTAGTGCACGTGCTTGAGCTCACGTGCCCAACTCCTGAGATCTGATCAGGAAGCTGCTGAGCACCAGCTTCACGTGTTTGTCTACTGGGGAAACTGCCTTTCCCTGGTGCTGGCTGGGACCAATGACTATTTTAGGCAGTGCGACAACTGCCTAACCATCACTGATGGTCGCCTGATGTCCCTGGTGGATGGAGGAGGCCCTCCCCTGCCCGGCTCACGCCTGACTAGTTGCCCTCTGTAACAAGCTGAGAATGTGCCACTGCACTCTGGCCTGGGCGGATAGAACCAGACTTTGTCCTCTCATCAAAAACAAAACAAAAAAAGGTTTTGGAGGTGGAACATACTTGCTTATTAGAGGTCTAGGGTAATCACTATTTAAAGCTATTTGTTTTTGAATGTTTTAATAAACTGTTTCGTTTCTGAGTATATGGTTTCATTTAGCATAGGAGAAGGCTAAACAAAACAACAAAAAACCCCTATCATATTCTAAATGTAAACCAGAAATTTACAACCATTCAAGGGCATACCTGCACAAATGACTCAAAACCAACACACACAGACATGCATGAGACCAAAATTAAGAATCCCTTTATGGCTTTAACCAAGGTCTCTAAAGAGGGAACAAAATTTCAGCCCCAAGCCCTCTCAAGAGCAGCTTAAAGAAAGTCTTGCTAGCTGCAAATAGGGCGTAACCCACGTCGGTCAGGCCATATTTCCGAAGGTCTCAGCTTCTCAGCTGACAGTCTATGCACAAATGCCAGGTGGAAGATTTAAAGAGACAGGAAAGTAGAAAAATGAAACTGCCCATGGGACTAGTGCCAAAAGTTGGGAAAATGAGGGAAGGTAAAGGTATGGGGTTGGGCTGGGGTGGTAGCTCACGCTTGTAATCCTACCACTCTGGAAGACCGAGGTGAAAGATACCCAGAGGCCAGACTGGACAACATAAAGAGATGCCTTCTCTACCGAATTAAAAAAAAAAAAAATCAAAACAAACAAACAAAACAATAAATAAAGATTTACATCCTTAAGTGACTGAGAGCACTCTGTAAAACAAACTTCCACATCTCTTGAGGGCCAGGGACAGAACTCACCTTCATGCACCAGTTTAAAACTAACAGGAATTGGTCACAATTTTTTTTTGAGATGGAGTCTCGCTCTGTTGCCAGGCTGGAGTGCAGTGGCGCGATCTTGCCTCACTGCAACCTCCGCCTCCCGGGTTCAAGCAATTATCCTGCCTCAGCTTCTCGAGTAGCTGGAACTACAGGTGAGAGCCACCACGCCCAGCTAATTTTTGTATTTTAGTAGAGATGGGGTTTCACCATGTTGGCCAGAATGGTCTCGATCTCTTGACCTCATGATCCACCAGCCTCGGCTTCCCAAAATGCTGGGATTACAGGCGTGAGCCACCGCGACCAGCCGGTCACAAATTTTTTTTTTTTGAGTCGGAGTTTTGCTCTTGTTGCCCAGGCTGGAGTGCAATGGCATGATATGGGCTCACTACAACCTCCCCTTCCTGGGTTCAAGAGATTCTGCTGCCTCAGACTCCAGAGTAGCTGGGATTACAGATGTGTACCAACACACTTGGATAATTTTTATTTTTTTGGTATTTTTAGTAGAGGTGGGGTTTCACCATGTTGTCCAGGCTGGTCTCAAACCCCTGACCTCAAGTGGTCCACCCGCCTCGGCCTCCCGAAATGTTGGGATTACAGGCATGAGCCACTGCACCTGGCCCTGGTCACAAATTTAAGGAGAAAAAAGGGTCCGAATTACAAACAATGGGAAGCAGCAATTTTAAAAGCATGCTGTGTAATTTAGGACAAAAAATTAAACCAGAGGAGGAAGGGAGCCAAACTGCCGATACCAGGACCCGGATCCCATGCTGTGAAGCGAGGCCAGAGAAGGCAGTTTTCCTTCTTTTCCCCTGAAACCCGAATCTCTCGCCTCTTTAGAAAGGGAACGGGGTTAGAATCAACAACTCAAGTTTTTAAGAAAAAAGAACAAATTAGGAGAGGAGGTGATTACAAAAGTTGTTTGTCAGAGTCAGGCTTGGTGGCTCACGCCTCTAATCCCAACGTCTGGAAGGCCGAGGCAGATAGAGCACTTGAATCTAGGAGTTTGAGACCACCCTGGACGACATAATGAGACCCGTCTCTACTAAACATTTTAAAAACTAGCTGAGATTGGTGGCCCACGCCTGTAGTCCCAGCTAGTCAGGAGGCTGAGGTGGGAGGATTGAGCCTGAGAGGTCAAGGGTGCAGTGAGCCACGATCATACCACTGTACTCCAGCCTGGGTAACAGAGCAA